GAAAACGCGGTCCGGACTCCTAGAACATCAATTTCTGTAAAACTTGGTGAAAAAGAAGATTAAGACATAGGTGTTGTCTCCTCATCAATGTTACAAACTGTGCGGGGCGGTGGCGCGTGGCGGCTCGCGGAGCGAGTCGCAAGTTCGTCGCGAAGCGTAGAACTGGGGTCCAGGGCACTCCCCGGCTAGACGTGTCAGCTCGCAAAGCGAGCTAATCACGACTAGTTCCCTATACAGTCCACTTTGCTCAGAGCCCACCGACGCTACAGATCATAAAAAATGAAGAAGAAAATTTCAGTTTCAGCGGTTCAGCAGTAACTTTCGCAAGAAGGAACTAATATTTTTGGCTCAATTTAGAAACAGCTGGTATGTCATTAGTATGCAGGTTAGGATGGTTCTTAATGTTCGATTTTTCAAAAATCAAATGTCTGAGCCCCCCTAAAAGTTGTCATTTGGTGTGAAAAAAACCTGCGAAAAAGTTCAGCCCGATTGGATCATACTGAGTGGTTCCGCCGGGGCCGGCAAGAAGTCTCCAAGCGGGAACTTCCAATTCCGGACAATTGCTTTTTTTGTCATTTTGCGAATTTTTTTTCTCCCTTTTAAAATGTCGCTATGACTTTGAAACTTTCTGAAGTATCAACTTTATAAGGTACTTTACAAAAAAAATAACGCACTGTTCATTATCATTTTTAAAATGCCCTTTTCAACCCTTCAAAGTAGCCACATCGTGCGATTTCGTCGATTTTTCCTACCATTCTCCCCGCACGGTTTGCCTGAACGAATTTAATTTTTTTGACAAATCAAAAGCAATGACGCTTCAGATTCATGAAGTAGAGTGTTTGCTGACGCCGAGTTATTTAAGCCAAGAAAACAAACACTCTGTCGAGCTCCTGGAAAATAAAGTCAACTGAAAGGTATTTTAGGGCTAAAAGGGGCAACTTACCGATGGTAAGTCCCGTTATAATTATCACTGAAAATAAATTTCCTCGATAGTTATAATGCCTGGCCTAGGTCTCTTGAATAGGGTTATTTTAAGTGCGCGAACACTAAAACCACAGCTTTTAGTAACATGGTAAATTTTGGAGACCTGGAATTACCTATCGGAACCGAAATTTTCTCAAATTTCCCATGAAGCTCTTCAAAAATCGCCTGCTTTCTGGGCCGTCGATTCGTCCATCCAACCGAATTTGACTTGGAAGCTTATAATGACCTGATACTGAGAGAAAAAATTCAATATAAGCGTAGGATGATACGCTCATATTGATTTTTTTTCTCTCACTTTCAGGTCATTATATATGTAATAGGTCTTCCATTTCAAACTCGGTTTGACGACCGAATCGACGGCCCAGAAAGCAGGCGATTTTTGGAGAGCTTCATGGAAAATTTGAGAAATTTTCGGTTCCGATGGGTCGTTCGAAAAGTCGAAAAATAAGAACGACCCTAATGCAGATAGGTACTTTTATAAATAAAACAGAATTATTAGTTCCTTGTTTCAAAATTTAAGCTAATTTATTTCATGAGTAATGTAATTTTAAAATTGGTGACTGTTAAAATCAAATATTTCCTTATTTGAACCGCATTCTGCAAATGAAGAATGAAGAATGAAGAATGATAACCTCTGGCTCAATATATAAATAAGGCAAGTGCTATTCCTTTCCAGGAGGTTAAATATGTAAGCACCTTACTGAGGAGGATTCTTGGTTCCTTAATTTATCGGGGGTATCCGTCAAGACTTCTCATTCACGCACCATCACGCATCACCACGTGCCACCAAGCATCCTAATAGAGTACTACATTGAGAGGAAATGTATTAGAGATCAAATAAAACGTTTCAGAGCTGTTGCGTTCCACACTTCCACCCTACCCTATAGATTCGGCGCCAAGCAATGCCTCTTTCCATTTCTGATCCTATATATGCCTACGATATCTTCGTGCCGGGGCTATTATTTTGATCCAGATTTTGATAACTTGAGAATTGTCAGAAATAGTGGTTCCTTATCACAAAATGTAACCCAATTAACTCCTAAATCATATCAGTGAACTCAATATCTTATGGACCCGGGAGCTCCTAAGTAAGTAAAGAATTAGGGTCTCACGACTTGCGATCTCACGAGTAATGACATGATAAAAATCAAAAGCTAAGTTGTCTCTCTTGCTGTTATCACATCAAGTTTACGTCACTTCGTTATGCAACTCTGGTTTTTTCTCCCTTCAACGCAACGAGACGGAAATAGTTAAAAATTGCGAGACAGTTAGCGACAGTCAGTACGTAATATACAAAATTATACCTTATTACGTGTCATGAGCGCAGCAGGCTGGACTTGAGGTAAGGTGATGTACCTCATAGAATATTCAAGGCTATAAATATTCACAAAAAAACTTTTTGCTTACGTTTAATATGTTGTTAACACGTGAGAATAATTATAATAGTCAATTATTGCATAAACATATAGCAAAAAGTAAATGACGGTTTCCTGAAACTCATTAATTTAAAAAAAAGAGATCAGTTATCGAATATTTAAAATCGAATCCGAGAGAATTTTTTTTTTTAAGATTGGAAGAATTATAATTGTCCCCTTACCTTCATAGTTAATCGCCGGTAATCAATGAACTACATAACGGGCTTTAAACGCAAGCACCGCAATATTTTTTTTTCTACCATACAATTTTACTTGAAGTATGGTACGCATAGTTTAAACATCTCTAAAATTACCTTGTGACTGGAGAGATAACGGTTTCCTATCCGTTGATTAAAATGCCTCGCTCAGCAAAAAACTAAAATCTGCTGCATTCGAATCGTGTATAAGACTACCAAAAAGTACATAATCACTCTAGGGGGTGAGTGGGTCTTCATAATTTTGTAACCCACCGTGTCATGGAGGAGGGGGTGTCAAGCTCAGCACTACATATCATGCAATATGTAAACTGGATTCCAAATTTTTAAGTTTCATACGTATAAATTTTTTTTGACTTCTTCTTTCTTGTGTTGTGCCTTGAAACACAGAACCTTCTAATCAACAGGAGCCATTCCCTCTCCCATCTTTCAGTGAGAAAAGAGAAACAGGATTCATTTTCTCACTTGTATTTTTCAGACCATTTACTTTCGACTATAGTCTCTCCTTAAATACATTTATATCACAAAATCGTGTATCAAATGTTCATTTTTTCGATCATATAAGATTTCAATTTACCAGCCTCGACAATTGATGGAGACCATAATAGCGTAAGCGATTCTTTCGGGTTTTTTTTTGGGGGGGGGCAAATATTACGTAACTATTTGGAGTGTCTAGACCAGCCTAACAACCGCGTTACAAGGGGTTTCTGGATCTAAAACGTTTTGAAATAATTTTATTACGTAATTTATGGACAGATCCTTGGGTATTTCGACCTGCATTAAATCGAATAGCTCTGTCAATAACCTGCCATTCTATTATCAAGGTAAAGAGTACTGGGTATCTGAGTGGAATAAGGATTTTTTTTTTACTTGCATGTAGTGATTTTCCAAACTTATTAATTAGTTTCAACACCTGATTTGACCGACATTGATTAAGAATTCTACTGTGAGTGATTGATGAGAGTTAAATGATTGTATTGCAGGCCAAACACTCTTTTGACGATAACATAGTGACCTGTAGAGTTTACCAATTACCCACTTTTCTGCACGGAATCATATTGGGGCAATTTGATTTTTTGCAATATGCGATGTTTTACTTCTCACTCTAGTTATTCGTCTCCACTTTTTGAGGGTCCTTATAGAAATGTAGAGCATTCTTTTACGATCGCTCACAGAAAAAGGAGCATTAATATGTAAGGAGGCGACATTCAGAGGAGCTGGAATTTTATTAAGATGGATCGGAAAAGTAAAGTTTGAGTTTTCGACAACAAAACCTTTCAGTAGATATTCCAAATGTACGTATTTGTGCTGAAAAGAGCCACTTTGCAAGCAAACTCAATGCATATACCTAGTTTCTTTTAGCATAAATAGTCCAAATTACATTTACCTAAATCCGACGAAACCTTAAATCTTCTGAATTTCATATCGCCACAACTTTCAGTTAGCTGAACGCATTTGGGTATATTCTTCGCTTGACTTATCAATTCAATTTCAACAGGGACTTTGCAATGTACGTGCAAAAATTGAAGTGAAACTGTGGCTCAAATTTTGGTTGCTGCAAATTCTATTACAGCAAGATTAATAGATGACGTTTGAACATTTTCAGATTACTTATTCAAGCGGAATTCTGGTAAAATTTGGAAATTGAATAATTGAGAACAGGTTAAAAGTTATCCCAAAGATGCACTGGCTAGCAAAAGTAGAAAACCAATATGTTACTTTAATAATGATCAGTAAGTACCGGGTGCACCTGTTTCAAGACTTAGTAGATGTAGATGGCGTCGGATTCCTTGCCCGCTTTCTTCACTGCCTTTCGACTTGCTGAAAACGAGCCATCATATGTGTATGTATGTTAAGTTGTCGGATATGAAAAATATTGCTATAATGTGTGAATCCCATTCTTAAGTAAGCAGTAAGTCTGCTGCTGGTTTTAGCTGCGATGATGGATTAATATTGAATTTTAACATAAATTTTTACTCATACTTGAATATGACCACGTTGCAAAACATGGTCTCAACAGAAAAATCGAGCAAGGTTTGCCTTCTTTTTGAACAAAAAGGCAATTTCTTGACACCTCGCAAGATACGTTTGAAAATTGGAGCCACATTGCCGTTATTGTCGTCACGATCACAATACTGCCACAACTGGGAAAATAATCATAATAATATTTAAACCATGGATAAATCTGTACCCCATTTGATAATTAAATTAAATCTATTTAATCATAAAATATTTATAAACAAATAACACTGTAAATATAATCAGTGTTTTTTAAACTAGGGGGTACGTCCCTGGGCCACTATACCCAATACGCGACTCAGCCCCCCGAGGGCGCTTTGCGCTTTCCAGGATCGCTTCGCAGACCCTTCATGGGTTGGACGTCTAATATTAATTATAACTTTTTTCAACGTAAAAAGTAATATTATAAGCCCGACTTTCGAGAACAGTATTGAGTTTTTAGCCAAACAAACCGAGATTGCATTAGCCACATTCACCAACTTAAAGATACTGGTCCATGCTTTTTCTTTTTGAAGTGAGTGACTTACTAAATATTTCCTACTTCCTTATTTATTACCTCTCAGTGTTACAACATGGTGGAAAAAAATAATTGTGCGGGCATTTTGCGGAAATGATGAATCCTCTATTTTTACTCGGTGTCTATTAATTAATTGCAGCGCTTCAAGTCATCCTCATTTCAGGATTGATTCCGAACCTGCCAGAGGACATTGAAAGAAAATGTCTTAGGGATGGAATAAAACCGGACATCGTGGACGTAATTCCCGATTTTGAAATTGAGGTATGTTTCTCACAGTAGGGAATTGTATAGACAGTAAGATAATTTGAATGAGTAGCCAGAGTAAACAGTTCAAACAAGCAGATATGATAATAACAAGTTAAAACGAAAGTTTCAGTCTCAGCAGTTCAGCAGTAACTTTTGCGATTAGGAATACCAACATTTTTGGCTCATTTAAGAGACACATCGTGTCTCATTAGTTTTCCTATAAGGTGAAACCACCAGTTACAGACACCCGCAAAAATGTGACCAGTTATAGACACCCTTCGTCTAAATATGGTAATAATAAGAAAGAAGTGACTCGGTTCTTTGTGTTGTTGTTTTTAATTCAACTCACTTGAGAGTGTGGGTTGAATTAAAAACAACACACAAAGAACCGAGTCACTTCTTTCTTATTAATACCATATTTAGACGAAGGGTGTCTATAACTGGTCACATTTTTGCGGGTGTCTGTACCTGGTGGTTTCACCTTATAGAAAAGTGTTTTTATTAATGGACCAGAATTATTAGTTCCTTCTAAAAAATGTAGTCCAAAGATAAAAGTAACACCTACAAAATTCTGCATCGGTGAATGTTATACTCAAATATTTCCTTATTTGAACCGAGCTCTGCAAATGAAGAATGATGACCTTTGGCTCAATTCAGAAATAAAGCATGTGCCATTTCTTTTCTCATGTGGATCTGGACCGGATTTACCTACTTGGCGCCCATGGGCCGCCTGTATTTTGCCGCCCCCTTCTCATTCGCTTTGAAACATCAATAAAAACCATCAAGTGAACGTGCCAGCGGGGGTGGGGTGCATAAGACGCGTTTACTCGTGTTGGAAACATTTTTTGGGGAAGCCTTGTCAACACTACTAGCAAAAATTCACCGAACTTTGCGCAAACGTTAAGTTTCGTAAACCTATCTCTGCGTGGAAAAGGCTTTCCACTCATAAGAAATGAACGAAAAAATTATGAAAGAACAAACATAAATGTGGTGCAATGATTTAACTTATGCCGCCGCGCCGCGCAGACCGCACCGTGTTTGGAGTGCGTGAAGTATTCCGAGAGTTTTGTAGGCGCTATGAGTTTCACGCCGACGACCGCTGCTGAACGCACTGTGTTTGACGCAATGCGTGAAGTATTCACGCAGTCTTGTAGGCACTATGCGTCTCACGCTGACCGCACTGTGTTTGGCGCAATGCATGAAGTATTCATGCATTCTTGTAGGCGCTATCCGTTTCATGCTGACCACAATAACCACACTGTGTTTGATGCAATGCGTGAAGTATTCGTGCAGTCTTGTAAGAGAGTAGGCCCTAATATGTGTTACATGCCGACCGCGACGCCGAGGGCTTCTCCTTTTCATCTCAAGTCATTACTATACTCTCAGGAAATAAGAGATTTTGTTCGTAATTTTTTTTTCTAAATCTGATTTTTTTCATACCTACATTTAAAAAAAATTGCAAAATTTGCCGCCTCCTAGATTTGCCGCCATGGGCCGCGGCCCATATGGCCACCCCCTTAATCCGGCCCTGATGTGGATAGGTGCTTTTATGGATGAGATAGGATTAGAAGTTTCCTGGAGAGAAAAAAGGTTCATCTGATCTGATGAGCTCTGGCATATACCTAAACACTCTTTTGGACCTTAAGGCTTATGGGAAAAGAGACTTTCATACGTTTATAAATTTGCATATAAAGGGACCACTATTTCTGCCTTGAACATACAAGCACATGTCTACACCGGGAATCCAATGTGACATAAGTTGTTTCCAAAATGAGCTGTAGGTACTTGTTCCTTACTGTAAAATGTGATCCAATTCATTTGTGCCCATCGGCAGTTCTGCGCGGCGCGGATGCCCTTTGGGAGTTGGTTAAAGTGAAACCGCAAGCAAGGCCAAGAAAGACAGACGAAAACAGAAAGATAAGTAGAAAAAAACCAAATAAATAAAAAAAAAGAAGGAGGAGGAGCAACTGTATAAATTATTAAAGCCGTTAATATTTTGTCCTAAATATTTGGATATTATTGGTTCAAATATGTCAGAATGCAGGGACGCCAGAATATGCCATACATGCCAGAATATCCTTGCGAGGTTTGAATGGATTTCTGCCAAACGGAACTATGTGCATTAAGACATGAGCCCTGAGACCCATAAAAATATATGCGTTACAGGGCTCACGTTATAATGTACATAGTTTCGTTTGGTAGAAATACGTCCAAATATAGAAGCGACTTACTAAGGAGAATTCTTGGTTCCCTCTTTTATTGGGGGTATCAGCGGAGACTACTCATTCATGCACCACCACGCACGAATATTTTTTTAGTTTAAAAGCTCTTAGCATTCACGAGAATTCAAGGCCAAGGCTCCTTGTGAAAGCTCGCAGCTATTTTCACCATGCGGGTCCAATTTTCTCTCGTACGAAGCTTTAATTATTTTTAATTTTAGGTTATGTTCGGAGATGGGGTGCTCGTTGAGTTCGGAAATGAAATCAATGAGAGAGAGTGTCAGGAGGAACCAAACGTTTTATGGCCGTTCGAGAAAAATACGACACATTATACACTCATAATGACAGGTAAAAATTAAATGACATATCTTCATCTAATCAGAAGGAATAGCGGGAGTTAAATATTTTGTCCATCCAAACATACATATCGATGATGAGCGACAACCAAAAAACGCCGTTTTGGTCGTTCGTGCCTCATAGTTCTTGCCATGCTCCAACGCTCTGAAAAAAAAGTTTGGCAAATATTACCAGAAGTACATGAGGTATAATTAGTCTACTTGGTTTTTGACACAAAGATACCTACTGTAGGAGTGTAGGATGATAATAATCAGACATCCGATAGCATTTACCCCACTTTTGCTGAAAGCGATTAAATTTACAGTCTTTGCTACCACCCAGTCTCTTGGTGATAGGCATCTTCATGTACTGGTGCTCTACAACCATATCTACTGTTCTCTCGATACGAGAAGCAACGAAACAAACTGTTGCATCCGTGGCATTATCCATTATTCGTCTTTAAGCATGTATGACTCTCTAAAAGTTTCATAGAAAACATGACTGGTTTCCTCATTAAGAGAACTGGAGTGGATTCTGTGAAACGCCACAATCTCGATATGTTTTTGTATTTTCACCATTAGTTTGAGATTGGGAACATCCAAAAATGACTTCCTTTCTTTATTGGTCAGGCAAAGGCTCGTAATCAGAATTGTGAGTAGATGAGAAGGAGTGGACCTTTACGGACTTTTGTTGTGATTTTATGACGAATTTTTCTTCCATATGGTAAGGATGTAGTGACTCAACGATCCATTATCCAATGGCCATCGGAAATTTTGAATTTCAAGTAATCACGCACTGAAAAATTTGGGCACACTATCCGATTTGCTTCTGATTCACCTATTTAACATTTAGCATAAAAATCGTAAAAAGTCAAAAACCATTTACGAGCGGTTTGAGAGTTTATCCATGATAATAATTCTGCAGATGAATTATTTCCTCTTGTACGTCTATAAATTGGAACGGATTTACTTACTGAGTATGATTTTACTTTCTGCATTTTTACTCTCTTTAAAACATCTCCTATATTCATATAATTATTTTGGTAAATTTTTAATCAGATCCAGATTATCCCACCCGCTCAAATGCCTCACAGCGGGAATTTCAGCATTGGCTCATTGGGAATATTCCAGGAACGGTTGAGGGGAATGGTGAAGAGTTAACCCCCTGGTATCCTCCTCATCCAATTAAATTTGGCGGTAAATTTTCCTTGATTTTTTCTAATCTTCAGCCATTTTGTATCCATTTTTTTTCACAAATATTCAAAAAATTCTACGGATACAAAACCGCTCTGCAGTATTTTTTCAAACGCTCTTTTTCCAACTTCCAACCGTTTAAGATGAGCTGTACAAATAGAACCTTTCACTCATTTTATTTATTAGGTTACAATCATGTTCTCCTCCCCCCCCCCCCCCTATCCCTCAAGATCCTATCACATTTCGCTTGAATTTGTGAAATTCCCCCAAATGGTAATATATTCGGGCAGGATACATGTATCACCGTGTCAGTTCACACTTCAGAAAAGGTGAGTCCTCTGATTAATTTAAAACAAATATGGTACATGTCGACGGTGAAAACACCGAACCGCGTATCTCGTTTGCCGTGTTTTAAAATCTCCGCTTCCATTATATGTTAAATAAAAGATAGCAAATCAACATCACCCCTTGAAGTTTTCACAGAGTTTTTTATTTACGGAAAGGAAAAATCACGGAAGTTTTGAAGAATTGACATCGGGTAACTTTCCATTTAAAAAATGAAATGTGCCAGGAAGTCTGCAACCTCCCAAAACACGATACCTGGTTTAAACCAGCCTCGCCGTTGATATTCAATAAGTTCCAATGTCTTTAATGCACTTAACTTTATTTAGAAAGCCATGTCACGGCCCTAATTCAAATTTTATTTCTAAAACGTGAAATCGGGCAGTTGTGCCGAACACTCATTGGCGCACTGCACTATGACACCGACAGAAAAGCTATTATTAAACAGTCGAAGTAAATTCACAGAAAATTGTCGGAAAATTGTGGGTTTGTTTTCCTTCATATTCAACTTTAGCCATGGATAGGCGTAAGTGACATCATCTCCATATTTTGATATTTCCAAAAACTGAAATTTAGTTTTTGTTTTAAAATCTTAAAATAGAATAAACTTAACTGTTGCAGGATTCCACAGGTATACGTTCATTGTCTTCATGCAACCGGAGGGGGAAAAAATTAAGTTTGACGAACCTAAACTGAACGACTCGTAAGTTACCATACTTTATAGAAATGAACCTCTGGTTATTTTTACCTATTATGTCGTCACAAGCATAGCGTGGGTCTGAAAAAGAGGGGGGTTTTATTTTTCTTAAACTTTATAGCTCCGCTTTCGAAGTTCTCGCGTATAAAACAAACTGTGGGGGGCTTCAGGCTCACGTTGGGTGTTTTACGCCTGCGCTCATCCACTTTCTCAAGAATGGATAATACTAAACTCTAAAGGATGCTTGATGTCCTCCAAGCTTCATTGAAAAGAATATGAAGTCGCACATAGTTCCATAGTTGTATATGAACCATAGACAGAAGGGATCTCCTGTTCCTGAATAAGTATATCAAAAGTGTTTATTTGTGTTATTTTACTGATTCATTTGGAAGTCTAAACAAGATTAATTCGACTCACTCCTGTGATGTTTCTTTGTTCATATAATTCATTGCAATATAATTTAGTCGGTAGGGCATTCTGTTAGATATCGTTGGTTTGTCCATTCGTTAACGTTGCGCATTTCCGCGGCGCAGCGTTGAAAATTATTTACTCTTACTTTCAGTCAAGTTAAGAAGAACTTACCTACAGACTCTACCAACTTACCTTTTAAGAAGAACCTAAGTAACTAACATAATGTAATATTCATTTTGCAGTGTACATGGACGAGCACATTTCAACACTAAGAAGTTTGCGGCCAAGTACAATTTAGGAGATCCGGTGGCGATTAATTATTTCCGTGCCGAGTCTTTTTACGGATGAGGAAACAGTCTAGTGATTGGAGGCAGAGGATAATCATCGATGGATAATTCTGTGAAATATTTCAGGAGTCTATCTTTCGCAAAAAATAAACTAAATCACCTCTATTTATAATTTTCACAAGAATAAATTACGAGTTTAAATCTTCATCGATTTTATTATTTTTTCCCCTGAAATTCCTACTTTAGTACTATAAGAACGATTAGGTAGGCTGGGCCATTGGACTAACTATACGTGACAAGACGATCAAATCTGGTACACTTACATCTCATTAAAACAGGATGGATCGAGATGGATTGAGTCAGCGAGACACATCGGGACGGAACGAGATTAATCGGAATTGTGGTTTAGGACGAGGTAAATCCGTATGGATGAGGAATAAACAGAGGCGGATCCAGGGTGAGTCGGAGGGGGGAGTCATTTGCTGATGCCGAATGGGGTGTCTCCCCCGGCAAATTTTTTTAAAAAAATAGGCCCTCCTAGATTGAATTTGAAGCAGTTTTAGCATACGATGTGTCCATTATTTGAAAGCTGATAATTGACGAACATTATGTCTTTCAGCGTAATTTTATTTTAGTATATGAACGAGGTCTTTATATCTGCGTGTTGAGTAACTTTTGGGTTGGTAAATTTGTAAATTTTCAAGAGCAGTCTGCAAGAGCAGAGCTGTCTTCTCTCTTTTTTCCTCCTTCGGCCCAAAGGGAGGGCCATGGCACCATTTCAACCCTTCCCCTGAATCCGCCACTGCGATCAAACGGGATACAAATGGCTAAAACTCGGCACGCTAAAGTTGCTGCATGCTAATCGTAAAGAAAGTTGAATTGTTTTGCTACAAAAAAAAAAGGGCTACCGACCGTAAAAACCGTTTTTTATACAAGAAAAGAAGAGAAATTGAAACTGTCGGCTATTATTTTCCAACTAAACGATTCCAGTATCCTGCAATATTAATCCCGAGGTGCACGAAAACTCCTTTTTGTCTAAAATCGGCTCTCACGCTTGGGACAATAAATATTAGGATTGAGATCGCAATGGTGACATAATACTTCGGAACCTAAGGAGTGTTTACCTTCGAGCAGATAACCTTTATGTGTTCTAGCCTATTCCTCCACTTAACGCTGCAGGACCACCAAAATTAAAGATACAACTTTTTTAACTTCTATGTAGCTGATATTGCATATCCGTTGGATTGAAGGTAAATCGTATTTCTCGCTCTTAAATCAGTTCGATCAGGCTCAATGCATGAAATTAGTAGACTCAAATGGATGATGCTAAAAAGAACTATGTTGCACACAATCCCTGTGCACATAGTTCCTTTTAGCGTACATACGTCCAGATGCATGATAAAAATTGTTCAACCCCCTATTGGCTCTCATTGTAGCGCTATCAGCTTAAAAAGCACTAATATTAGAGTGTGTGACTGCGTCCCGTGTGAAGCGCGGGTTAATTGCCTGTATATTTCACAATATTATTTAGAAAATTTAAGAAAATCGTTTATAATTTTACGATTCCAATTTGTTTGACATTTCGCCATCCTGCATATCGACGGTGAAACTACCAAACCACGTATCTCGTTTGCAGTGTTTAAAAATCTACGCTCACATTTTATTTTTTTGAAGTAGACCAAATCAATATCATTCCTTGAAATTTTCACGGAATTTTCTCCGCACAAAGAGGAAAAATCACAGAAATTTTCAAGACTGGATGTTAAGTAGTTTTTCATTTAAAAAATAAAGTATGACAGGAAGTCTGCGACGTCGCAAACCGAGATACGTGGTTTGGTAGTTTCACCGTCGATATGTGACGTTTGATGAGTTCTGTGGGATGGACATTCGTTTTTAAGACAAGAGATTTGAACTCCATTCCAACGTTGCAAAATTATCTTAAACAGAATTGAAAATTTTACATGAATACAACTGCAATTTTTGGCCAAAATTTTGCTGATTTTCCATGGAGGTTTTAGATGAGGTAATTTTAAAAAAGAAATGCATTTCGCGCCTCTTCCGATAGTGGTCTGCTTGTTGTGCAGCAAAGCGACCATGGGGCGCCGCCCCCTTGTAATAATCAACAAAGAGGATAAAAGGGTCAGACGAGAGACAACCACAAGCGAGACAAAAGTCTTTTCCGGAATCGGTCACGGCGCTGAATCTTCCGTAATTTAAACTTTCAAGTTCCGTTTTCAACTTTTATTTAGTTTTCCTCTCAAGGTTCGGACATCTTTCCCCTGAATCTATGAAACTATCGTTCTATCTCTTCGTTCATTTATCTAATGACTAAACTTACCAGCTGATTGCCCCCTTGATCATAGCCAGTCAATCACGCAGAGCCGTGTTATCTCACCATCTCTTACGTCAAAAAGTCTATAGACTAAATAGGCGTGGGCTGTTGACCTCTGTTGTTGTGTTTAGCTTTTGGAATTTGATATAGTACCAAAGCTTGCAGCCTTTACAGTGCTGCTGGTAAGTAATTAAAATGTCGAGATAATTTTGCCATTTTTATTTTATTCGATTTTGCTATTTTGAAATATAGAAATGTATAGGTATGAAAAAGTTAGTTCCGTCCACTGAAAGAGGAACCGTGGTTCACACAAATTCGAAATGTATTTATTGATACCGCAGCACAAGCAAATGGTGTATAAACATTTGTGGACGGAAAACCTACAAAAATGTTTACACAAACCGAATGAGGGTGCTGTGTAAAGTTTACAATTAAAGAGACTTGTTTCCAGGAAAAGCTACGTAAAATTCCAATCTGCTATCTTTGTTGAATCATCATACAGCTTCTCGTCCTTTATTGGTACAAAAAAGAGTTTTGGACCCGCTCAAAACTATCTCTGCAAGAAACTATAGTAAGATTTTTCCGTCGGAAACAAAAAGGCAGATTTTTTGACCCGCAACTCAACGAAACTCGCTTGACTGAAAATGTTGAATTTTTACTCCCAATTTTGATACCTCGTCATCCTCGTCCCCCTGTTGCATCCGTCCCCTTCCACCTCTCTCTCTCTCTCTCTCTCTTTTTAACCGCGGGGAGTGTGTTTTAGTACTCTGATAAAAAAAGTGCATTAGATGGAGGTTGATAAAAACATGAGCCACGCACGCAATGAGATAAAGGGGAGGAACTTGATTCGGTGACTGATAACGCAAAATTGATAAAACCTGAGTGTTCTCAAAATTCATGCTATTTAAATAGAGCATGGCTTTGTGGACGTCATTATATACTCCTTGCTTAATAATAATTTGAATGGACATCAGCTTAGGTATAGTTGTCGATAAATTGTGATTTTCGCTTCAAATGGCGTTAAAAATATTTTATTCACACAGTGTTATCAATTTTTGATAAAAATAAGAGGTTGATAAGTTTGGGAAAAGTAATTGTGAAATGTAACTTACAATTTTCAGTACGTTGGCTTTACAAGAGAGATATACTGTCATTGAAACAGTTTCTGTCTACTATCTTCAGTTCTATCTTCATTCGTGTTTATTGTGTTTACTATGCTTGAATATCAAAATTTTGATTAATAATGCAGAATTTTATGGATATACTGTTCTTGCATGTATCTCAAAACTTTGAAATTTTAAACTTCCCAACAAAAGCTACAGTGTTGCAAAGTTTGAAAGACAAAGTTCTGATGTGCAAGCAAGAACAGTATATCCATAACATGCTGTAATATGAACTCGTCTCTTTGGATAAACATATGTATCATATTGGGCGTCAAAGTAGTTTTACTCGTTGCTGAAATACCTCAAGACAAACTCAGAAAACTGGAGGAGGCTCGAATTATTCCAGATTACGCCGAATATTTCCAGCACTGCGTGGAAGCTGAGGTCAGTTAAATGGGTTCTCTATTTTTATCAGTTTTTTTCCCCTCATACAAATTTATTACATTTTTCTAGTTTTTGTTGCGAAAGTTAGATGTGAGAAAGTAAAATTACAAAGGAAAAACGCAAAAGGTCCATTTATATGGTGTGAGTTTAACTGCAATGTGACTGTTCTGCATTAAAATTTTGTTTGAAAATCATAAATGGTCGTATTTCTACCAATTGGAGCTATTGACGAGTGGAAAAGATGGGGTGTGCTCTAGACAGCTGCAAAAGAAACAATGTGAAAGTGGGCGTGATTCCCTTCTAAGAAATGGAAAAGTGGGATTTTACATCCTGTCCAACGGAACTACGTGCCAACTGAATGCGGCACTCATGAGCCGTTGGAATGGCAAGAGAACGTTGTGGACAGGGCTCATGAGTTTAAAGCTAAGCAAGAGCGACAACAGAGACGGCTTCGTTGCCGCAGACGTCACTGGCGCTGTATAGTTCTCATTCATTCTCACGGTCCTCAAACAACAAGCATATCCCTTATTTGCCACCTGCATCCTGTTCAGTTTGGTAGAAATACGTCCGAATTTAGTTTTATAGTTTTTAATAATTATACAACTTTTAAGCGTGCCAGGAGGGCTCGCTTTTTTTACTTTACATACTTCAGAGAAACTAAGATGTGTCTTGCATATGTGGATTGCATTTTGCAAAAAGGAACCACTAGCATTACAATGATGCTAAGATTGTGCAACTTCATCCTTTGCAATAAAATTGCGGAAATCGTGAAAAACTATGAAAAGATGGTAATTTTTGTCTTAAATTAACAGTTTTTAGCAAGTAAAATAGAAACTATTAATGGATAATCGGGTTTTTCCTCCAAGACAAAAGAAGTTGCACAATCTTAGCAACATTGCAATGCTAGTGGTTCCTTTTTGCAAAATGCAATCCATGTGTAGCTAGATTATTTTGCTAGGGGGGCGCAGCCGCAGGGAATCTGGGGAGTGTGGAATATCCCTAGTCCAGAAGGGGGTCAGAGGTTTCATAAATATTTTAGTAAGTGTCAGCAAAGGTTATGTTTTGACAAAATCGCATTGTTCCTGTTTGTAGATAAAGTTTGAGGAAAAAGGCAAAGACCAATCGACTTTTCGAATATTAGCAGATTTTGGAAATGCAATCGATTTACGAACCGTGTCCGACAACAAGCCAGAAATTCGATGGCAAGCCAATGTTGGCGAGTACTATACAGTTGCATTAATAGGTAACCTGCACATTTTAACTCAATCTGCCTGAAAAATTCCTCTTAATCTTCGATTTTTCAGAGAGAGGCGCGACGCAGTTAATCGAAGTTAAAAGTTGAAAAAAAAAACCCTAAGCTGAAAGTCTGAAAATGTATTTGAATGCACAACTATTAGCATATTTTCGCACTTTTCACAGTTATCTTCAAAAAATTTATGAATACTTTTTTTATCAAGATTCGTTTGGAGACCCGCAAAAGATAAATGATCAATAACATTTTAAACTTACTTGCACGTAAAAAGTTTTACATGCAAGTACGTTTAAAATTGTATTGACTCTTTTTCATACTTCAATGTAGCCCCATTCGCAACTGGAATCAGAAGGACGCATTGCAAATCGCGTTTTTAGCCTTTCAAAGTGGCATGTGAGGCACAAAAACGTGTTGTTAAATATCTGGAAATTTGCACGCACACAACTTTTGGCGTCAATTTACGTGATGAGAAGAGTTTCCTCAAAAATTATTTGTCACCCCTTTTCCCTTCGCAACATTTCCACATTCACAGCTGTAACAAGTTGCACCAGCCGCACTCATTGCAAATCACGTTTTCGTCAATCGAAGTAACAGGCAAAGGCTGAGTTTACCAGGAAGGAACCGACCCAAATTTCGAAAAAATTGAGCTAGGTATGTTTTTGAGTTTAACTAGTCGTATATATTTTCTCCTGCCAAAAACTCTAAGTAGAAAAAAAATAATTTGTGAAAAGAGAGGTTTCAATTTATTCTCTACATTGAGTCTTATGGAGGAATAAACTTCAAACCTCTTTTTTTTAGTTTCGAGTTTATGTGCATTGGTTCCTTTCCGATAAACTCAATCCAAATGTATGCTACTGAAGGTCTAAAAATATGTAGTATGATACACCTGAAGCAAATTTTTAAATAATAAGGTCAATAATACATATAATATGTTTAATAATGCGTAAAGCAACTTGCACTTCCCGATTCGTCTACTTTTCTTGCGCGGCGTTAAAGTCTCTGAAGTAATTTTTGCATTTTGCCGCCTCGGTAATCGATCGTGTGGTTCAGCATGATCAAATTTTGAAGGTACAGAGCCTTAGGAGCGTCTTTCTTCGATGTCTGACGACGGCGAAAAACACTGCAACCAAGTCCAGGGCGAGAAGACACTCAGATTTTCACTGGTAAAAAAAAACCTCTTGGTTCAAGAGTGCAGTTTCTTGTCGCCGGATTTAAGAGTCTGGACTCTTGTATCAATGCAAAATCCGCTTGAATCAATGCAAAATCCGCTTGAAACAAGAGTTCAAGACTCTTAAATCCGGCGACAAGAAACTGCACTCTTAAGTCAATGCACCGCGGCATTGGTCCAAGAGGTTTTTTTTACCAGTGATTGTTTCTCGACCCTCTAGGAACGGAATGGACCACTAGACAAGGTACGAATTTAAGCGATCTGATACATGTTTCTTAACCCGAATTTCACGTAGAAAACGATTTACACAACGAAAATTTTGGAAACCAACTCCTAACGAGGATATTAACGTTTTTATTTCACATTGGTTACGAGGAATTTGAACTGCCCGCTCACAAGAAACTTAAAGCTCTATGTGAGTCAAATCGCCCACTACAACGGTTTCAGCAAGCTCCTCAATCGAGCAATGTTCATTTCCCACCATGTGTTGTTCAAACTATAAGCAATTTGCCATAACTGAGCCAAAGCGTCAAGACTGAGGTTGCCAGATTTTTATATCGCAGAGACTGTCATGATAACGTTAAGCGCGCGATGTGAATCACGTAGAGCATTGAGTTTTCATGAGCGGGTGGTTTCAATTCACGCATTAAGAATCATTAAATATCTTCGTAAGGAGTTGATTTCGGTAATTTTCGTTGTGCGCATCGTGTTTTACGTGAAATTTTGGTCAAAAAATATGTATCAGAATGCTGAAATTCGTACCTTATCTAGTGGTCAATTGCGGATTTTTCCGATGTCAGATCTTGCGGTTCGTCGAGTTGTCCCCTCATTATCAGTGTCAACATACATATTTACTACATATTTGAATAATCATAATTTCTGCACCTTCAGATCCAGACGTGGTGCGTCATCCACCACAACCAGTGGAAAGAATGCATTGGCTGATTGTCAATGTCCCGGGTTGTTGGTTACCTGGCGGTCAGGAAATCATACCGTATCAAAAACCAGCGAATCCGACAAAAGAAGGTATTTAAAATCGATTGACATACGCTTTTCACTCGATACTACGTATATTTTGCCATGGAATCTGTCTCTCGTTATAGACGATCAAAATACATGTATATCTACGTATACGAGGAGTCAAATAGAGTTTTGTTCGCAAATCTTATCATAGGAATAAAATCTTTAGGACAGGCAAATTCCAAAAGTTCATTAATGACTTACATTACTTACAGCATTATCCTGGTGAGAAACGGCTGGAACTACACTGAAAAAAATTTCTGCCCTGAAAGCCGTACTTACGGGCTGTATAGACTTACTGTCCGCGTTCCGGGCTAAGAGATCGAAAATTCCAGGCGTAGCACCCGGAACATTTGGCCTCTAAGCCCGGTACAGTCGGTAAGCTAAGTCTATACAGCTCGTGACTATTTTTTTCAATGCAGTCTCTCGAAGTGCTTCGTTTGTCTATTTTACAGATTTTGATGGAAACGCAATAAAAACGCATGACAAACATTTCCCTTTAGATCAAGAAAAATGCCCAATGAATATTTTCATGTAGCGAAACAGTTTTTTTTAGGCTAGCATAAATTCTGGTTTCTACAAGAAACTGTTTTGACGTCCTATATTTGAAGAGAATTCTGAACCCATAACTTATTTTTGTATTTAAAAAGCGAATAAACACTCATTTATGTACTTGATCATCTAATTTTTTATCGCAGGTGAAGTCCACAAAATTGTTGCCCTCATTTATCAACAACCCGATGGGATAATGAATGTCACAGAATCTTCCTTGACAAGTGATGAATTGTAAGTAGAGGAAAATGTAACCTACGAAATACACTTTATCTACCTATAGTCGTATAAACAATTTGCAGAATTTCCTCCAATTTTTTGCCGTCTCTAGAAAAATATCCTTTTTTATTTCTACGGATAGATAAAAGTTATAACAATTTTTTTTTCTTTGTCTTTTTTTGGACGAAAAATTTTCGGTCCCCGCTATACAAATCTAGGCTACAAAGTACACCATCAAACATCCCTGGAACCAATTGTATTTACCCAAAAATTTCGATTTATCCCCCAAATTTGGACCTGTTTTAAATGACTGTAATTTCCTTCATTCTGTGCCGAATTATGATGATTCATTTGCCTCTTAATTTATTTTCCTCAGGGTTGCAGGGATGAGGCACGCATTTAGAATTCGAAAGTTTGCACAACACTACAACCTCATGTTTCCGTTTGCGATGAATTTTTTCTTGGCAGAATATAAAGATCCTAAAATACCTCTACCAGGTCAGAAGAGGCCTCAACAACAAAATCAACAGAAGAAGAAGAAAAATCAGCAGCAGCAGCAAAAACGACAACAAAATCCAAATCAGCAAATAAAACATAACCAACAAAAAAACCAAAATCAGGCTCAGCAAAAACATCAGCAGAATAGAGACCAGCAACAGCTCCAAAACAAACAGCAGCAACGGAACAAACCCACTACAGTGCAAGTCCAGACGGAAGATGATCAAAAGCAGATACAGCGACAGCAAAATAAACAACAACCGCAACAACCATCACAAAAAAGACGACAAGAACAAGAACATCAACAACAGCAGCAGCAGCAGAAGGAACAAAAACAACAGCGACATCAACAGCAAAAACAGACCCCATCAGACAATCTGATGGATACGTTCATAGCCGCTCAAAAACAGGATTTTCTTAATCAACAGCGACAACGGAATATGGAGTATCAAAAACAGCAGCAGCGACAGCAGCAAAAACAAAAACAACAACAACAACAACAGCAGCAGCAGCAGCAGCAGCTGAACCAACAACAACAGCATAGCCATCACCCATCGACATCAACACATTTTCCTCACGAAGAAGAAGAAGAGGAGGTAACATTGGATTCAGCAGAGCTTCTGAGAAGACAAGAAGTCCTCGATTACTATGCAAACAAAGATAATGGTATTACTGAAAGAGTGTGGATCATAGCGTATACAACAGATAATCCAATCAGAGCGATCTACATGAGGGACTATCAAGAAAAGCAACGACGGAAATATGAAGATAAATACAAATGGCCGGACCCACCGAGTCCAACAACGAAAACCACAACGGCAACGAAAACCACAACGACAACAAAAACCACAACGGCAACGAAAACGACAACGACAACGACTACGGTACGGACAACACGACATAAATCGACAGTAGCCTCATCGACAGAGAGAGACGAATGGGCAGGCATCATGACGATGCAGATGCCTATCGTGCCTGATATAGATGAATTCGAGGATTATGAGGGGCCAAGAACTAGGCCTGGTCCTTCAACGACAATGCACCCTATTCGAGCGAGGTATCTGGAGGACTACGAGAAGAAAAAGCACCGAAAAAAACACGAAAAACCACCCAATGGTACGACGGAGAGAGATGAATGGGCGGGCATCATGACCATGCAGATGCCTATCGTGCCTGATATGGATGAATTCGAGGATTATGAGGGGCCACGAACTAAGCCTGGTCCTTCCACGACAATGCACCCTATACGAGCGAGGTACATGCAGGACTACGAGGAAAAGCAACGGAGGAAAAAACTCGAAAAAGACGGTGAAAATGGACAAAAAACCGATAAAAAGCAATCTGAGTAACTCTAATTATGTATTTACACGCGTTTGAAAGAGCACAAGGAGTTAATTTTACACTATGCCCCCAACACTTCATGAGGTAAAGAGCAAACTTTAAAACAGGAAAGGAGGAGTACCGTTAAGGAAGGGCCTTTTCCAGAATTGAAGAAATTTATGACCTCTTACTATGGGCAAACAATTACAAAACCAAAAAGAGAATAATTTACTCTGAAAACAGAGCAAGAGAGACTTAATCTAATCTGTGACATTGACTCCACAGCCACGCACAAGTGCGGGGGGGGGGGGGGCGGTCTCCAACACATTCATCATACGATTGATTTTTTCGGATTGCTTCTTTACAAGGTCTTCTAGGGCCTTAATTCTTCTATCATAACTATTTTGATTAATAGGAATGATAGGAATTGGTGCTACATTTGACGAGGAATTGACCGAGTTCTTGGTTTTACTGCCAGAAGTTAAAACTTGAGAATAAAGTCTATTCAGAGGCGCCAGATTTTGTGGGGCAACAAATTGATGATTAACGAATTGAGTTCTGGGAACAGGCTTACCCATTCGTTTTTTTCTTATCTGACGATAAGTTTTACAGCGCTTGTAGTTTCCAAAATGCATCTCTCCGCATGCAGAGAGCGCAAGTTGGATATACAGGGGTGCTTTCTGCTTGGCATTCGAAGGGGCGCGGACAGGCATCCTCTGCGTGAAAGTCACCGCACAAGATACATCGAGGATCACGATAACATCGTGTTCTCGTATGACCCAGAACGGACAATTTTTGCACTGGACCACCTCTCTGCGACCCTTTGGACGCTCAAACGAAACGATATAATTTCCTACAACTTTTATATTCCACATTTCATGGACTTTACTAGCAGACAAAAAATGAACAAAAAATAGCGGAAGTTGAGTGGATTTCAATTGCGATTTATCTCTGTGGCGATTATTAAATTTGTGAGCACCTTCTTATCTTCGACGGTTACATTATTTGTTCTATCGTATGAGCTGAATCGGACAACATCAACCGAAGAGAGCTCTCGCGATGCCATCCATTTAGAACTGGAACCGGGGCGTGGGTGGGTTCTTCCTCCGGCTCCGGCACAGCAAACTCGGGCAGCCCCAAATTGGAGTCTTCTGCGCTGCGCCAACTCCTGCTTCCTGAGGAAACAAACGGAAGGGAAAGGAAATGAAAAGGGAATCACACTCACATATCGCATCCTAAAGATCATTTTGTGACTGAAATGTTGAAGTAAATTGCAATAATATTATATAAAATGTTATTACTTTTTTGCAATATAATCGGGATTTTTTTAAACAATAAATTGACACATTTTATTTTTTATTGAAAAAAATAAATAGATAAAAATAAAATAAAACTTTATTGAAGACTTTTTTGGTAACAGGACGTATGAGGCTTGCAATGTTGCTAAGATTGTGCAAATTTTTATGGCATTCGTGGAAGATGAAATTCATTCGCAGTCGGCTTACTCCCTTCCAATAGTGAGGGGAAACTCGGAGCGGATTCAGGGAAAAATTCACAGTAGAACTTTTGGATAAATTACTTACAACCCATAGAGTACATAGAGTCGTAATGTAAATGGGAGAGCTGGCGCCGTATTCTGCTCGACGAGTTCCGAGCCCGGTGTGCGCCGAGTTCGGGTCACTTTTTCGATATATGTTCGATCCAAAATGGCGGTGTGGAATACGTGGTGATTCCTATCTTCTTTGTTTACATTGGATGGCCGGGTACCCGTGTATCGCGAACAATCGATTATGTATCGAAAAAGTGACCCGGCGTCACACAGGAGTCTCGGAATTCGGGACCTGGAAAATGCTTAAAAGTGGCGCCAGCTCACCCACTTACATTACGACTCTATGTACCCTATGTTACAACCAAAGAACTACGTTGCACAGTCTCAAAGCAGCATTGGAAGTCTTAGACGTCCTTTTACCGAAAAATGCCTCTATTTCATTTGACAGAAAATCGAAATTTTTTTCGGGCCTCGACATGTGGGAAATTATCTCCTTTTTTTTCAATTTTACACACGTAGAACTCAATTTAAACTAAGAACCGTGTAGTTGTACGTTTGTATGTTTTTGAAAAGAGCGCAAAAAAATGAATTAAAAATGTTCAGTGAAACTTTTTTCTACGTTGCCAAGTTCTGCAGAAAATTCATTCCAAAGAGCCAAAACTGGCCAAAATTTGATAAATTTCCACGCCTAACGTTCAAGAAAAGGGGGTACAACTTTTATATTGACGTACTTACGTAACAGCCCTCACCTATATTTTCCATTTCTTGAATCTTAGGCGTAGCAATTCATCAAATTTTGGCCATTTTTGGCTCTTTGGAACGATATTTCTCGACAATTTGGCAACGTAGAAAAAAGGTTCACTGAAAATTTTATACTCATTTTTTCACGTCTTTTTCAAAAACGTACACGGTTCTTAAAGTAAGTTGAGTTCTACGTGTGTAAAATTGAAATACCTCCTGAAAATAGCAACAATGGACCGTAAGGCTCCTTAAAATTCATCGGAAGCCTTTCCAAAGGGCAGAACTAGAAAGTATACGCAAAAACATACATATGAAGCATCTGCTGACAGAGAGATAACAGTCGAAAAAGTCGACGATAATAACTATAATTTGATGACAGGATTTTGGGTTTGAGGGCTGCTGCACCTTTGCATTGGCTCCGTTCGGTTAAATATTTGGCATATAGTCCACCTAGGACTTGTACTTTGAAAATATGAAACATTCAGCAAAATCTAGGTAGCTCCGGAAAAGGCCCTTAACGATACTCCTTCTTGAATCTCCCTCTAATTGCAAACTGAGTTAACATCGTGCTCTTTATTAGCAGTGACGTCATCGAGAAGGGCAGATTGGTAGGAGAGGGGTGGGGGTAGTGACGAATTGCTCCTCTCGCTGCAGTAAAAATTAATTGACCTTTCCAAAAGAAATTTTTGATCACATGTGTTTCTAACTTCGAGTTAAAGATGCGTGATCGAGCAGTATTCATTTTGAAACAATCTAAATCTTGATAAAACTCTCTTACTTAATGATTACCACCATCTGAAGTCGTTGTCTGTTTTCGATCCTAAAGTCTCATGAAGCTTGGCAAATTACGCTGAGGTCAATCAATGTAAAAACTATAATTTTCTATTTTAAAAAAATTAATCAAGTTGTGAACAGTCTACATATCAAAGAGTAAAACTCATGCAAGTCCAAATAAGAGGTGAATATTATCGATTTATTCTGCGTCTAGAATCACAATGTTATATTTATTCTTCACATTCATGTCTGCAAATGCACGTGAAATAGAAACGCCTTTCATTCCGGATTTTCTTACGGATAATCTAAAAAAGTTAGAGCGGTACAAGATTATGCCAGAACTGATGTCCTGGCCACCACATCTTCATGCGCAGGTATATACTCCCCTTATAGTTCAGGAGACTCAGATTACCAAATTTAACCTATAAGGATTTAGAAATATCGTTTATGAATGAATATTACTAGCATGATCCGCGTTTTTCTAGAGAAGGGTGCGTATTTTGGAATTTTTTCAGGTGCTGTAATTATATACATTACAGCACCGGCATAGTTATTGGCATCTATATTTTTGGATTTTTGTAGCCACTTAAGTCATTTCAGTCAGCATCCTTATTAAATTAAAGCAGTTTGAATACTACAAATTCAGTATGAGGATGGTTTGTTGATCGAAAACTTAGAGGCAGTGGAATCAATCCGAAGGGAGTATGGAAGTTACGCGCGGTTCCTAGTCACGCCTTCAATCTTCAAAGTAGGCTATAAAAATATCCTGTGTACGATATTAGATACCTCCTCGAGACAGAGTGGCAAAATTTAATAAAAAAATAAAATCGTGAAATTTCGCTTTAAATATATCAAGATACTGCAAAAATATATTATGAAAGATATTGGAAAATATTGAAAAAATATTGAAAGATGTGTACATTACAAAATTAAAGATGCAAACCCAATCGTGGATTATCAGCGCACGCTAAATATTCTGAACTATTAAAACGCTGCCAACATTTTTTTAAGGCGTTTTTCTACTCGTGTGTATCCCTCATGTTTCCCGTGCGATAAAAATAAATAAAAATTCAGAGTTTAAGGTGATTCGATGGACGCCATATTTTGTGTCAGAACGGCATGCGATATATCGCATCAATTGGTTCCATTTTTTCAGCTACTCGTCATTTTTCTCCAAATTTTAGATCGCAATTCTATTGTCAGGAGACTAAAGCACTCACTTGCCAATTTTAACAAAGAAATTCAACGTAATAAAGGCGTGGTTTTTTCAGAGAGAAAACATCGCATTCGATACTGATATCGAAACTGCACTCGAATGCGATATTTTCTCTCTGAAAAAACCACGCCTTTATTACGTTGAATTTCTTTGTTAAAATTGGTAAGTGAGTGCTTTAGTCTCCTGACAACAGAATTGCGATCTCAAAATAGGAGAAAAATGACGAGTTGCTGAAAATATGGAACCAATTGATGCGATATATCGCATGCCGTTCTGACACAAAATATGGCGTCCATCGAATCACCTTAATAAGAAAATTAGGGATTTTTTGTGTTGTTTGGTTTGGTTTGTTTGTTTTTTTTTGTTTTTTTTGTTTTTTATTTATTGCGAATAGCATATCCTGCCCCGACTGTGTTGTATTCGACATCGATATGATTCGGAACTATATATTAATATTTTTACTTATTTCGATTATATTATTAAAATATATCTCCCTATCTTCTGTAGATAACTTTCCATGACGGGTCACTCGCAGACTACGGGAATGTGGTCACGCAACAACAAATGCTCAAAGCACCGAATATCTCGTGGGCAGCTGAAATGGAAACCGAACACACGGTAGTAATCATGGGTAAAATTTTTCTCGCATTTTGGCGTGGTCCAGTTTTTGTCCTCAACAGCAGGAATACCTCCATTAAAGAATAATTGAATATCGACGGTGAAAATCCCAAACCGCGCGTATCTCGGTTCACGACGTTGCACATTTCCTCTTCCATTTTATCTTTTAAATGGAGAACTATTCAACGTCAATTCTTACAATTTTCCTTCATTTTCCTTCTCCATACGAAGCAAATTCTGAGGAATTATGTTTATTTGTTTCCTTTTAAAAAAATAAAATTGGAGCAAAGATTTTTAAGCACCGCAAACGAGATAAGTGGTTTAGAAGTTTACCCGTAGGCATTTTTATGGCCAATTGCTGATACCGATTTTCGGCAGCTTTTCAACTGTACAGACGGAAACTGCCGTAAAAAGAATGTCTAGATCTAGAGGCTCATACGACGGCCTTTAGACATTGCCAAACGTTCTGTGACAAATCACGCATTTCGGAGAGCATATTTGCAGTTATTTACCTTCCTTTTCAAAGAATTTTGCGCGTAGTTTGATTGAAAGTGTCTGAAAATTCTAACGGAAAATATTCATAACATTCTTCAAAAATAAGTTTCTTCTGAGAGTACATTTGGCAACATTCGGATGTCATAAGACGTTTCCCCTTAGCATGGCAGTATAAGCGCTATTACCAATACATCACGACAGATCGACGGCGTAAGTCTGCAATCACATATCTCGTTTGCGGTGTCTGAAAATCCTCGCCTCTATGTTATTTTCTTAAAGGAGAACAAATTGACATCATTCCTTGAAGTTTATGCAGTGGTTATGCAGAATTTTCTTCGCACAGAGAAGAAAAATCATGACAGTTTTAAATAATTGCCGTTGAGTGGTTTTCTGTTTCAAAAACCAAGTATGACAGGAAGTCTGCGACGTCGCAAACCGAGTTTTGTGATTGCTGACTGACACCGTCAAGATATGGAATATTCGGAAGGTATCGATATATCCTCATTGAAAACCTACATAGAGTTAACGTGTTCGTTTGAATCCGAATTCGACTATCGACCGTGTTGAATTTTTATTATCCAAACATATCCACCATATATGCGTCACAAATACGCATCATTTCATACACTATATTTTCGATCATTTTTTAACGATTCTTCAAGTGACAGGTTCTGCCTTCCTACTCAAATGACATTTAATGACATCAGCGAGGTTTTATTTTATTCCAAAGGCAAATAAAGATATTTAAAAAATGCCTGCAACATTAGCATGGTCAGAATATTTTTCGAGGGAGGGGGGTCCTGACGTCACCCACCGGAAATTCATGGGTACCCCTCATTGTCTATGCCCCCAAGGCTACCCTCACACAAATTGTCCATGAATTTGCATCGGGGAAGGGGAGGGGTAAGATTTTTCCGCCTCTTTTTTCTCACAGTCAAAGTTTTGTGGGGGCAACATGATACTTGTACTTCTTCAAACTCTCCCCCTTTACTCTTTACTAGCTACATTCTTGGGTTGTATGCTTCAGTCTTGTTAGTTTTTGCTACCTTAATTCCAAAGTTGAGACTAAGTTTTCAACAATAGTTAACATTCATGCAAGAATGCAACTTTATGACGTTTGAATACCCCCGTCGTATTTCTGTTTGTTCATTGAAAACTAGTGTTTTTCCGCATCCATAACTAACGGAGTTTACCTTTATATACCATTTCTGGAGTGCATTTTCTCAAAATCGTGAAAAATATTTCGTTCGGTTCCCCCTAAAGATCTAAATCAGTGAGGAGATTTTTAACAAATCAGATCTTGGTCCTTATTTTCTCACTGAAAGTGAGTCTCATTGTAGAGATTAGTATTACATCAATGGTTAAAATATTCTGATTTTTATATTTAAAGTTTTGAATTTCGCAGACTTAGATCACAATGTTGATAGAAGTCGCGGTGTGCCACCAAATGTTTCTGAGATTCAATATGCGTACTGGGTGTTAGGAAATATACCAGGTGCATCACTAGAGAAAGGTCTTGAAATTGTGCCGTACGAAGCTCCGAGAATAACCGACGCTGGGAATGGAGGTACGTACATATTTTCGTTATGAAATAAAAAAAAAGAAGAAAAAATGTGTGTTAGATACTACCGACAACTTTTTGGATATTCTGAGTTTAGTTCAAATTCATCTTAAAAATTGAATCTGATAACTCATGAACTTATTATCCTTAGTTGTACAAATTTAATTATTGTTCACATAATCTGTGCCGTAGTATCCAATGCATCTACCTGAGCTGAACACTCTATCTCCTCAGTCTTGCACTCGTAAGTCTTGCACGTAAAAGGTCAAATTTTTTACGCTAAAGAAAATGTTTGAAATTTTCGAGCCATTATTTCCTCGCAGAATAGTGTATGGATCCAGCACTATTCCATCGCCCTGATGATTTGATAAGTTTAACGTAATATTAACAGAAAAAGTTTAATTTGCTTCTCAGGAAACAAACACCAAATATCACTGCATGAGTAAATAAATATGAGGAGCTCAGATTTCATGGGTATAATCTTAATCACCTAAACAAAAACGGGTTGTTTACGTCTGTTTTTTAGAGATGCACAGGATCTGTTTTTTGGTTTACTATCAATTACACGGCACCAGGGAATTCTACAAGCCTGACACAGTTGATAAGTAAGAATTTTCTCCTATTTTGATTGTGCCGTCCTTGAGGGGATTGGTTCTCTTCTGAAGTGGAAAAGTAAATGTTTGAACTCGGACATTGAGGGATCTAACAAGCTGGCAAAATTGTTTTCTCTCCATTTGCACCGATGGAATCATATCGACTCTTGGAGGGACCGGCGGGTCGAATGTTGAATCGTTATCGAATGAACTCGATCGATGAATCCCTATCTCGGCAATGCTTTTCATCGATCAAGGTCACTCGATAACGATTCAACAGTCGATGCGCAGTTGCTTCAACAGAAATCGATTGTTCAAAACAGGTTGAAATGGAGGAAAACCAGTGTTGCCATCCTCCTGGATCCGCCATTGACTCGGAAACTATGCTGCCATGCTGAGGAAAACCGCCGTATGAGCCTTCCGGCGTCGCCAACTTTCCCCTGGCAAATCACTCTTTTCAGGAAAATTTTTGAATATATGTCTACCAATGTCTCAGATAATTTTGTTTGTAATTTGATCTAAAACGTCTGAAAATTTCAAGGAAAAATATTCATAATTTTCCTCAAAAATAAACATTTCATCGAATGAAATTTGGCAACTCTCGAATACTCATACGGCGTTCTTCCTTAGCACGGTGGTATGCACAATCGGTTTGCAAGTCGCAGACTTCCCATGATATACTCCGCTTTTTTCTTAAAAGGCTGATTAGCAGGGGCGGACTGGCCATGGGGGCGGGGAGGCGATCCCCTCCTAACAATTTGCCGCGGAAGTTCCGAAGGGGCCCCCGCGGCGAATGTTTTTCAAGTCATCGTTTTTTCCCCCGTAATGTTGTAATTTTCCTATCCTTTTCAGTCACTAAAAGGCCCCGAAATCCTTGAAAATCTGTCTCTAAGAAACATGAGAGGTCACCTAAAGCTTATGTGAGGAAGGGGCCCACGAAGAATCCTGAGAATGGGTTATTTTGAAGTTCAAGTACTGTAGAATTTTACTCAGATAATGCTTAAAATTGAAATTAAAAAGTGTGAAATTTTCAAAATTTTCCGGGGGAGGGCCCCCTGACCTTCTTAGAGGGGCCCCCACATCTAGGTCGCCTCCTAACTTTTCGACTACCAGTCCGCCCCTGCTGATTAGCGCACTTTTCTGGAAATATCCGATTTTTGTATAAGAATAACCTCGAGAAAATTCAAGTAGAAATTTTTCATTTTTCCTTCTTAGAGAGTTGAACAGTAATTACGATTTTGGAGTACCTCAATCGTGGTCCCCACTATTCAACTTTATCAGTGCCTCAGGTTAAAGTTCCCGTTTGAGTAACTATTAAAACTGCTCAAATTTTGTTATCCTTTGTTGATTTTGGATGGTGGACTTTGCAGGTTGCGGATTTTGACTGAGAATATTTCTACGGAACGTAATTTATTTATTTCTGTAGAGTCCTGATACGTACCATGAAACCATGTGTAATGAAATATATTTATTGGAATCAGATTCAATCTTATGCTAAATTTTACGTCGAAGGACAGTTACAGATCGATTCAGCCGAAGTGCGAAACCAAGTATCCCCATTTAGATGATTCGAAATTTCCGCTCCTACTTTATTCTTGCTAAGAGAAACATGCCATTTTTGTGAGCTTGTATCTGTACACAGTGAAGAAAAATCACGGCTCTTTTAAAAAAAAATACGTTGAATAGTTTTCCAGACAAATAAATGAAGCATGACAGGAAGTCTGTAACGTTGGAAATGAAGATACGTGGTTTCACACTTTGGCCATCGATATTATGATTTNGGGGGGGGGGGGGGGGGGCGCCTCACGTGTTGCTTACGGATCAAAGTAAGTGACCAAGGAAAAACTGATCCATCCACAAACATTTTTACTATAAATAAACCGCTATAATTAAAGATTGGCTCAATTCTGAGCCAAAAGACTGTCTTGCATTATAGGTACTCAGTTTCATTTGCATACTTCGACTTATAAATACACTCTAGCTGATACAATTTTTATGATTTTTCGATCGCCACATGGGAGTCCCAGTACCTATTAAATAGACCAATGATAAGTGTCACAAGAACTTTAGCTTCAATATTGATCAACGTAAAGCAGCTTTTTTGACTTTTACTATAAAATAAAAAAAATAAAAAAAAAAAAAAAAACTGGTTCAGAGTTTGATTTCTGAACTAGAACAAAGATCAATCCTATAGATCCAATAATGTTGAAGTAATTTGTATGTTTTATTTCAGAATTTGGAACTATCGAATGTNAGACTGTCTTGCATTATAGGTACTCAGTTTCATTTGCATATTTTGACTTATAAATACACTCTAGCTGATACAATTTTTATGATTTTTTCGATCGCCACATGGGAGTCCCAATACCTATTAAATAGACCGATGATAAGAGTCACAAGAACTTAAGCTTCAATATCGATCAACGTAAAGCAGCTTTTTTGACTTTTACTATAAAATAAAAAAAATAATAATAATAAAAAAAAAACTGGTTCAGAGTTTGATTTCTGAACTAGAACAAAGATCAATCCTATAGATCCAATAATGTTGAAGTAATTTGTATGTTTTATTTCAGAATTTGGAACTATCGAATGTGGTTTAACCACAACGCATTGTCAGAGAAGTACTTGCTAACAGGCCCCCTAGCCTTGAATTTTGTCCTGGCTCCCATGAAAAATATCGAAATCACTACTAGAAGCTACTAGAGACCGAGATTCCATCCATTTGCTGGAAGTTTGTCAAACTTTTTTGTCACTTCAAATTCAGAGATAAATATATAATTTTGGTTCTCAGTTACTGTGAAACAATTTCCTTTTTTTAAGGGAGGGGGAGGTGGAGAAAAAAATTATAATAATCATATCTTCCGCGATAATAGGAATGTCTCTAAGTCGGTTTTGTTTATTTTGGGCCCCATGAGCATCATGGAAGGCCTGGCCAACTAATAATCAGACAGCCGTACCGTGCAAACATGACGATACTCTGCAAAATAGGTACTCTTGCAGACGTAAGCGATTATTTTATAAAACAAATAATCGATAGTCGGATTGTTACTTCCAGAATCTATTTACATGGATTTAATCGTCAGGAAAAATCGATTTAATCGATTTATAATGGAAAATTTCGTTTTAAGGTGATTCCTCCCATGAAGTTAACAAACATCGATATATCGAACGAATTTTGCTAAATTACGAGCTTTGCTTTTCTTTCTTTGAAAAAACAGAGAAGTAATAGTGTAGAAGCATACTTCAGCAGTCTATTGGCAAAAAACCTCCTCCGAAAACCGTAAATTAAAGCCAAATGAAACTGAATGCAAAATATCGCATTCGACCAATACCAATCGAATGCGATATTTTCCGTTTAGTCTCATTTGGCTTTAATTCACGGGTTTCGGAAGAGATTTTTCGCCAATACACTGCTGAAGTATGCTTCTGCACTGTTACTTCTCTGTTTTTTCAAAGAAAGAAAAGTAAAGCTCGTAATTTAGCAAAATTCGTTCGATATATCGATGTTTGTTTACTTCCTGGGAGGAATCACCTTAAACCGGCAACACCAATACTGACAAACGAAGGTTCATCAATTTTTCAGGAGGACAAGGAAAATTCCATTCAAAAGAGCCTTTCGTTTTATTTCCCGGTGAGAAGTCGATTCATCAAATAAATCGATTTTTTCAATAATCGAAAAAAATCGACACCGTAAAGGTTCGATTAATTATTATTTTATTATTTTTCGCTTAAATCGTGCACGTCTATACTCTAGGGGAATCCCCACGGTGACGTCACGACTTAGCGGCTCTACGGCAAGCGCATGTAACCATGGCAACCGCTGTAAACACAACAATTCCCCTGTGCACAGCTCGACATCTTATTCTCATCATCATAATAATAATTCAGCACCCTGCTTTATTTTTCTTATGTGATATCAACTCAATCGAAATAATTCAACGATCTCGGTAACTGTTCACGTGAAGTAGATAATCATACTTAAAATAAAATGTTAAAGCACCAGTAATAAATTGTTAAAACTCCACACTAACTTATTTGTTCATGAACTAACATCCGCCGACTTGTTTTGAATGGATCATGCGTATTAATATCAAGAGCAAGCATGCGAAAATCTCGTGTTTATACTAATATAAAAATATCCGGGGTTTTTAATAGTAAATAGTTAGTAATAGTACAAGTAAAAGTTAGTAATAGAGGGGGGAGGGGTTAAATAGTTTTAAGGAACAAGGGCTCATTTGTTTCCAGCATTTTTCCATATTCCCATTCGTAAACACTCGCGAGTGCTGTTGAAGTGATACTTTGCAATGTACGATGAGAGCATAGAGGTGACAAATGCAGAGGAGGTGCGCAGTCCCTCACCTCAGAGTAACGATAGTATGAAAGAGAAACCTGGACCACAAGATGAGCGGAAGAAAAACCCGCCATCAAAAAGTACATCTCTTCAAAAACAAAACAGCAAATCAGAGGTAGGTCAAATGTCATTTTGTGGAATTGTTGCACCGTGCCCGTACGATTGGACCAGTAGACAGGATACAAGATTAAGTAATCTGGTATAAGTTTCTCCTATTCAAAATTTCACGAAGAACTATATTTATGGAATGAAAACTGGCATTGCCATCCAACTAAGATAATAGCTTTATTATGTTTCCATAAGTGAAGAACATCCAGCAGAGACGGTATACCTACCGTCGGCAGAAACCAAGGGTATCATGGGGACCGTGGTGGATGGCATCATGAACCAAATTTTTCAAAGCGCGATATGGCGGTTAATTTTAAACGTAGAGAGTTCCTGTTAGGGCAGATTTTATTATTTTCAACTGATCTATAAGAATCGAGCATCAAAACACGATTCTGATACCAGCGCAACTCATTAAATTGTCTAGATTCTTGGTTTAGGGTCTTTGAAATATTGTCACCGTTGTATTTTATTTTTTTACCGAGAAATTGCTCAACGAAGCTGTCCGAAAATTTCACTGAATCTTCTTTGTGCTGCCGATGAAATTCAGTGAAATTTTCCAACAGATTCAACCAACAATTTCTCAGCAAAAAATAAAATGGCGGCGGAAATTTTTCAACGTCGCATGTCGCTTGTGATACTTTGGCCGGAAGGTGACGATATGTTCTGATGACGGGCTTTCATTTCTGCGCCCTCTGAATTTTAGAAATTAAATGAATTCCCATTCGATTACACTTAAATTCATTTTCAATTAAATTTTCATTCAGAATACCTTCTCAACGGAAACGAGAAAGGATCTGGGTCGGGGTTCCCTTGAGATGGGCAAAAGAGGATCCGCCTCTTTGCTCAAGGACAGCCAGCTCCTCTCGTTTCACGGACGCGACGATGACGAGGACGACGATGATGATGACGATGATGACGAGGATGATGATGACGACGTCGAGGCCCCAAAAATCGAGGGGTGAGATAATTTAGTAGTATTTTATCTTTTGTCGGCAAAAATATCTCTAAAATCTTCGCAATGTTCGCGAATGAAGTACCCTTACGACGGAACTGATCCCTCTATTTTTGGTTTTTTGACTCTGTTGTAAAGGCAAATTAGCTGTCAGCCTACTGGAAAAAAAGTCGCTTGGATCCAGAAGAGTCTAGACTCTTAAAAACATTGACAAGAAAGAATACTCTTGATTCAATCCGATTTTTCCTGGAATCGAAGAGCCGAGCCTCTTGATTTTGGCGGATTTCCTTTTGATTCAAGAAAAAAGTTCGATTGAATCAAGAGTATTTTTTCTTGTCCATACTTTTAAGAGTTTGACTCTAGATCCAAGCAAGTTTTTTGCCAGTTATGACATTTTAATTTAGCTTAAATTGATGCGACAGAAATTAAACCACTTTAAAAAAATTAAGTTTAAGGATTTTAGATTTAAATGAGTTCTTATTTTCTCCTGCCAAAAAGGTCCAAGCTATCAAAATGTTTTATCGTTCTGAATATGGACTGAAAGTTCGTATTTTACATTGAGTTTCATTCACGTAAAACAAACTCCAGTTGAAAAAATCTTGCACCAAAGTTACCAGCTCAGGTTATCGAAGTTTTTGTTCCTAGAAACCTATCTTCAATTTAGATAGCCAAAATTTTCGGATGCTACACAAATATCTATATTTTTTAAAGAGGATTTTTGTCATTTGAAGCAAATTTCGGTGTCTATGACCGGAAACTTTAATTTTTTTTTGAAAACTCAAATTTAAATATGAAGTACGTATGTTTCTCCCTGTTTCGGAAATACCTTTGAACGTTTTTTGGTTCCTTCCTATCAAACTCAATCAACGTTTAATTCAATATCCAAAGTAAAGCATGTTTTTTTTCTCATATACAAACATGATAATCTTATTGACTTATGATCTTTTATTTCAAATATCAATGCGATTACATATTGTATACTACAGCACTTGACACACTTCCTAATTATGCTACATCTACTCCACTCTGCTGCGCACAGTTTAGAGCCAAATATAAAACATCATTGAAGATATTGCACGTGCATATTTTTGCATTATTTTTTCATGTGCGTTGATCATCATTGTTTTATTTAAACCTTTGACATAATTGCATTGGATAGTGAAGTCAAAATAATCGTAAAATAACGATTATATTACACATCTCTAGCGAAACCTTTTATTGGGTCATCAAATTAAAAAAATACAGTTAATTCCTCTTTAGATATATGCTGACTTTTTCTGATTAATGTCTAATTTATAATCTTTTTCAGGATGTACGATCCTAGGGAGTATGAAAATTTACCAGTGCCTCAGGAACTGAAGGAAATTTTCTCCTACATTACAAAGTAAGCGAATAAAGTTTGAAATTAAATGGAGAGAGAAAAATAGTAAAACAAACGAATTGAAAGTGTATTTCATAGAATAATGCAGATTACAATTGGGCTAAATTTTGCGATTCGGAACTACAATCTCCAGCCCATCAGTGAAAACACTTATGTGTAGAGGGAAACGAATGATACATACTTTGTTTCTAAACTGAGACATGAATATTAGTTCCTATAATTGCAAAATGTCGTCTAATTATCGGTGATCCACGAATTATTTTTAAGGGGTAAGAAATTTTGAGAAATATAAATAGGCGAACATATTGCTTTATTTTTCAAGGATGGTCTAAAGCTCCGTCTCAATAATTCAATATAAGTGCACCTAAACCGGAAAAGACGCCTTCATTTCTCAGGAATACCACACCACGGCTTCCTAACCGGAATATATTTCTCTTGGTCGTTCAAACTTTTACATTCAGCATTTTGTGAACGAAATTAAGGTATCAAAAGTATGAAAGAGAGATTTACTCATGAAAATGAACTAAGATTCCGTGTGCGGCTCTATTCAGTGTATGTTATTGACCCACACCATTACATTTAGGTCTTTTTTCAAATGTCCCAGCGCAGATATGACTGATCTGCATAAGATTATCCAATAATATAAAATATGACCGATTCGAAACCTTTTTAGGTATACTCCCCAAACGATCTCGCTGGACTACAAACTCGAGCCATTCATACCTGACTACATACCTGCAGTTGGGGACATCGACGCCTTTTTGAAAGTCCCCCGGCCCGACGGCAAGGAAGACCAACTCGGTTTGATCGTGTTGGACGAACCATGCGCGAACCAAAGTGAACCGGCCGTGCTCCAACTACAACTCCAAACGATGTTGAAACAACCAACAGTCCTACCGACGGTAAGTCTCATTCCAACCCTCGTCTAAACCCTCGATAAAGATCGAATTCAAGAGCTTATTACCATCCCAGTGTAGGGACTTCTCAGTTGTTATTCGTTGCCTCGCTTCAGTAGCGACTAAGGAATAACACCGCATGAGCCATTAGGCGTTCCAAATTTGTTTTCGAAAAATCACGTATATTAAAGAAAATTGGTGAATATTTCTCTTCCTATTTTTCAGAGGATTTCATTCGTCTCAAATTTTTAAGGAAGAGTATTCGCAACTTCTTCCAAAAATAAATATTTTCTGAGAGGAATTTGGCAACACCGCATGCTCATACGGCGTTTTCAGGGACGAGGCGTGAATGATCGATTATCGGTACTTCTCCATTTGAGCTGTGGTAAAGCATCGATTATTAGGGTTAATCGATCCTTTTCTATAGGTTTAAATGGTAGATCAATGGATATATCGCAAAGCACGCCACGCCACTGGACGTTTTCACTTAGCACGGCAGAGTTTTTAGCTGGTGGGCACTGATTATCATCAATCAACCTGGAGTCCAGTATAACCGCATACCCACCGCGGTCTGCTAGTCCTGCAACTTCGTACGAGAGATATATCCCGGTTTCAAAAAGATCTATAAAAAAATCAATTTTCTATTTCCCATCTCTTTCATCTCTCTTTTCCCACTGTATTTTGTGCCTCGCTGTGGAGCGGGTTTCAGACTCCGATGGATTGGGGTTTAAGCAAACTCATTTTTAGATACCGTTATGGGTGAGACAACCCCCCTCCCCCCCCAAAAAAAAAAAAAAAAATTTGAGTGCTTCACTGATATAATTGGTTGTGTTGCCCCAGGTTGTGAAGAAAATCGACGACCCGGCGAAAAATGCGAAAGTGATCGATCGATGGATAAAGGATATAGGTGATCTCCACAAAACGAGGCCGCCCCCTACAGTGCATTATACGAGGTGAGTTATCAAACGGCGCACAGTGGATCGAGTCAATTAGAGAGGTCGGACATGAAATTTTTGACCAAAACTGCAAATTTTGATGTTTATTTCGTCACATTTTAAATTTTAAGGGGTGCTCCTTGAAGAAAATTTCACGAAGAAACGAATGGAACCACTTTCAGAACCTGAAAGTTTTGTATAAAAGGACTTATAAGCGTTTAAAGTTTCCAAATTTTGTCCGACCTCTCCTATTGACTCGTTTCACTGTGCGGCGCAGATCGAGTCCATGGTAAAGGTCGGACAACACGAGGAAACTTTGAAAGCTCATAACTCCGTTTATACAATACATAACGTTGAGGTTTTAAAAGTGGCTCCATCGGTTTTCCTGTAAGAGTTTCTTCTAAAAACATCTCTTATAATAAAAGATTTGACGAAATAAACATCAAAAGCAGTTTAAGACCGAACTTTCTTGCCCGACCTCTCCTAATGACTCGATCCCCTGTCCGGAGAATGGGTTGTTAAATCTTTACGGAATGACCTTGATCGATGAACAGAATTGCTATGATCGGAGTTTATCGATTCAAAGCATTCGATAACAATTTATTAATCGTCTCGCAGTGTTGCTGACTTAAAAAAAATAAAAAATGAAATAAAATAAAAAAAAGCTTGGATTAGAGAGTTAGAGACGCAATGCAAGCAGGCCAATACTTGTCGTTTCCTGACTTTTTTGCGTCTATCACTGCCGGTTTAGGGCTGAGACGGGAACCTGAGTATATTGCGACTTTAAACCAGGCTGATGTATCGAAATTTATTAGATAGAGCCATAATCCCAAAAGACCAATGCAAAACGAGGTGTTCCTTTTGATTGTAGCGGGTGGTTACAATGGAGAATTTGCAAGGGTCTGAAATTTGATGAATTTCCTGTTTAAGTGGAATCCTCTGAGTGAACTGAACACGAAGATACCCTTGATTCATAAATTGAGCAACTATTAGAGGAGATATAACAAAATAACCGATTCTGCTAAAATACATGTGTTTAAATGGGAAATGCCGCCAGATGACGTCACAAGGCGGCACATTTTCTCACTTTTAAATCAATTTTTCTCCAATTTCCCATGTCAGAAAAAAATTATGAAAAATACTGCGAACTCAGCTCATTAGGCACTTTCAGATGAAGCAATAAAAAAATTGCGTGCAAATTCTCCATTGGCAAAAAAAAGTTTTAACAGACTAGGTAACTACCGGCTTTAGTCAACTCGACTATCTTTTCTGGAGGAGTTATAGTGCACATACAAGTTTTAAAAATAGACCTACAAAATCCTGAAAAAAGAATCAGTCATCAAACTGAAAAAAAGAAAAAAAATCTAGTGTCAACACAGTCGAGGATAAGAACAACGTAATCGGGCCACGTTTTTTAACTTTCCTCCCAAATCTAAGAGAGACTGCATTAGCAGCATAGAGCGAAGCATTACGAGCGTACGCGTACGCCTCGCGGTATCGCGCCTTCAATTTTGCTGATGCAACACGGACATCCATCAAGCGCGAATAGTTGTATCTCTGCGCCGTGATCAACTCGCGTCCTTTTCCTTGCTCCATTTTCAAGTAGGACATTTTGTAAAACCTGAGTCTTGTCATTTACCGAGCGATGAGATGTTTTCCAACGGAGGAGTTATGTGCGTTGATTTTGTTCCGCCGTATACTAGACATTTTTAAAATGTACCGATTTTTACGTAAAAAATCAAATTCTACTTATGAATTAATTACGGGCATTCTCAATACGTCCGATGTTCTACGTAAAATTTTGATAAGATTACATGTTTTGCGTAACTTTCATTAGAGCAAGTGACCCCCCTATCTAATGCTCTGACAATTTGAATACATAGAATGGAGACTGGCAGCTCTTACGAAAAATGCAAAGAGACAGGAAATAATTAAGAGAAACTACATGTTTCAATAAGGATTTTTGAACTTACTATATCACTGTTTTATTTTTAAAAATAATGGAAAACATTAAAAGCATCCGCAAAATTAGTTTACTCCGAAGCAATGATATAGCAAAACAAAATTTAAATTCACGTCTAACAATACGTTTAAATAATGGGATTATTCAAGTGATAGTATTTTTTATAATTTTTTTCTGATATGGGAAATAGTATAAAAATAGAAATAAAAGTGAGAAAATTCACCTCCTGGTGACGTCATCTGGCGGCATTTCCCATTTAAACACATGTATTATAGCAGATAGATTATTTTGTCATATCTTCTCCAATAATTGTTTAAATCATGAACCAAGGGTATCTTCGTGTTCAGTTCACTCAGTAGTTTTCACTTAAACACGAAATTCATCAGATTTCAGACACCTGCAAATTCTCTATCACTGGAAAACAAACACATTGGATCTAGAGTCCAGACTCTTAAAAACATCGACAAGAAGAAGTACTCTTGATTCAATCAGAATCTAGCTTAAAACAAGAATCAAGCCTCTTAATTTAACTAAGCGGATTTCGTTTTGATTCAAGCAAAAATCCGATTGAATCAAGAGTATTTTTTCTTGTCAATGTTTTCAAGAGTCTGGGCTCTAGATCCAATGTGTTTTTTTTCCAGTGATTGATGATCTCTCTTCGTCTATGGGCGAAACAATCTGGGACGAGTGACGTCATCCTAGAAGCCGGTCGGAGCAGTGGGGGTTGGTGTTCGTGGGCCATGTTCTAGCCTCCATCGTATTATCCGATCCCTTGTATTCACAGTCAGGTTTGGGCTCGAAGTCTCGGCCGGACGCGGGGATATGCGTCCTGGTGACCGCACTGGGGACAGCGGTCCCTGATTCAGGACGGGCGGGGGCGGGGGCTCGTCCGGGCATACCGCCGACAATAGTGCACGGAGCCTCTCGGCGGAGTATACCAACGGGATTTGGTCAGGTGTCTGCAGTTCGACGGGCGGGGGAGTCGTAGGTCGCGGGGCATTTACGCCAGGGGGTGTCGTGGGGGTCCGCTGTGCATCTAAAAGGGCTCTCCACTTCCTGAGCACTCCGTTGTAGTACAGCCTTTGTGTCTCTGATCCAGTCCAAGTTGTTGCCGAAGACATTTCTGTTTGGAACAATGAGCAGTGGTGATTAGTAGACGCACTGATCCATGGACTGATTTAGAGTACCTATATAGGGAGACCACGGATATATACTGGAAAAATTCGCTTGGATCTAGAGTCCAGACTCGTGAAAATATCGACAAGAATAAAAATTCGTGATTCAAACGGGTTTTTCGCTTGAATAAAAAAAATCCGCCTAAATCAAGAGGCTTGGCTCTCCGATTCAAGGAAAAATCGGATTGAATCAAGAGTTTTTTTTAATTTCAATGTTTTGAAGAGACTTGTTTTACAATGTGACATGGTGACAATGTTTTTAAGAGAGTTGTCTGGACTCTTGATCCAATCTACTTTTTTTCCAGTGTGTCGATGTAGCTCTCAGGGCCGAAAAGAGCGGTCAACAGGGTGGCATGATCATGAAACATAAGAAAGGAATGAATGATAGGAAATTTCAGTGAAATATTTCATGAAATATCAAGAGGCTGTGAAATATTTCATATTTTTCAGGGGCTAGAGTATGCAACCCGCACTCAAACACACAAAAATAGAAGAAAGGTAGTATTTTTACATTTTGCAAAACATAAAAAGGAACCGGTATTTTTCAATATTTTTCAGAAATTTCTGAAATTTCATGAAACATCTCACGTGAAATTTCAAGATTTCATTTTTCATGAAATTTTTTCACCCAAGCGGCCAACCCTTGAAAACGAAAAATGTCACTGACAATCGCCAGATACTAATGAAACCAAAATGGCCTATATTGACCATAAATGAGCGTTATTATGCAGAAATGTGTAAATTTATTCAAAGACTTAGTCAAATTCGTGCTTTACCAACGATGGGTCGTAACAATTGTTATAATGAATCACTCTAGATAGTTTGAATGCATAGATTGACTGCCCTTTTGGGCCCTAAGAGCTCTATCATCTAACCTCAAAATTACCGACCCGTCCGACGTCCGTTCTCTCCCTATGTAGGTACTCTAGGCTCATTTAATAACAATACTTCCTTTGATATAATATCGAACTCAGTAGTTTAAACCGGTGTAAATACCATAACCTCGTGCTCAAATTATGCGTCAGTTAATAATTGTGTTCATTCATTACACTGCAGTCATTGACAGGTTATAAATCGATAAATTACGGACTCATGAAACACGATGTATGTGTACGATGAACGATTTAATGTACAGAGAATAGCGCTCGCTTGGAAATGAAGATACGCCCTTCCGTCAGAGAGCGATGTTGTGTGTCGCCATCTTGGCTAAGCACTAACCATAGAGTGCGTAGAGTCGTTATGTAATGGCGTGAACAGGGACCATGTTCTGGTTGACGAATTCCGAGCCCGGTGTGCGCCTAGTTTAGGTTACCTTTTCGATACATTTTCGATCCAAAATGGCGATGTGCTGAGTAATAATTCATAACCTCTTTGTTTTTTGTTTTTTTTTATTGCTGGTTTATTGGCTTATGTTCCGTTGGAACCTACAGCCATCGATAGACAGTATTTATTGTCCTTAGACATCTATAGGATCTGGGCACATCCATGCTCCAGGCTTTTCAAATTTTCAGGGATTAAGGCCGGGTGGAATCTGTTTCTGCAGATCCACTCGTCAGTTCCATGAAAATTTGTCGCCACCACCGGGATTCGAACCCGGGACCTATTGACCTGGAGTCAGACGCGCTAACCACTAGGCCAACCAGCAGGCTGATTATTTACTTTCATAGATCTCGGCTATAGATCTGCAAATCTCATCTATCGTGCATCTATGATCAAACTATTTGTGATTCTACACTGTGATTCTATCCGATGGATGAGCGATAGATCAGCAGAATTGGAATACAGTGTTGAACGATTGCTTTGAAATGAAAATAATCGTTCTGACCAATCAGACACCTTGATTCACTGAGTGAAGAAGAAGAAGCGCGTAGGAAACCTAA